GGATTTATAAATAAGCAACAAAAAGTACTTGAGACGGCTGGTTGGGGACACAGGCAGCTGTCCCTTGTGAGTCCCACACAAGTGGAGGAAAAGCCTCCTTTCTCCAGATGCAGTCCAAGTTCAGACCCTTTCCTTGGGAAATGTCACTTGGAGATGTCTTCCCTAATAGTTAGGAAAAACTTATTATTAACAATCATTTTGAACAGAGAGAGAGGAAAACACAGGTCCCCTTTTGTTGGTAAGGGCTCAGGTACATGGGAACATAGGAGTGGAAGGGGAGATGGGGCGTGTGAACTGTGAGAAGCAAAGGGGAAGAAAGGCAAGGCTCATCCTGGGATGAAGTATGGAGAGAAGCGATACAATGGTGCTGAGCTAGCCACAAAGCCCCAGCTGCTTTCAGGATGTAGATTTGTGGCACCACTTCCTCTGGGCTGAGGCCCCAAACCTCAGGTAGCTTTGGGTCTGAAGTAATAAACTGACCAGGATTCCAGCTGTACTGTCAGCATCTGCCAACAAAGCAAGGCAAGTCATCTGCAAGCCTTTCCTCCTCCTGAATGTTCCTTTTCAGCTAAAGGAATGAACCCTCATTACCCTAGCACCAAAACATCAAATTCCAGCCAAACAAGTATATGTTCCAGAAGATGATACTGACTTTTATAGCATCTCTTGAATCAGTCCCCTCTTTTCCATTTCTACTGCCAAGTTCTAGCCTTCATTACATCTTACCTGAACCATATCTGGTTTTCAGTATCTTACTCACTTCTCTCCTTGTCCCCTGATGACTCAGCCATACCCTGCTGCATATCAGTCTGGCTGATATGCAGTCTTGGCTGGTCAGAAACTTGCTATATTCACTAAAACCTTTGCCACCTGACAACTCAAGTCCTTGTTTAATACCTTTCTGGGGTGATATCTTGCAATATCTGCAATGTCCATTTCCTTTTCTGCTGGGGATTTTTACTTTTGGAGACAGTATGGAAGGACTGCCTATCTACCAGACCACCAGTCCTTTCCTCGCCAAGTGAAGCACATGGCTCAAGCTGAGCTAACCAGACATTTCCTCTCTGGAATGGGAATCTCAAGTTGTGGTGACAAAATTACTGGTCATAGCAGGAGTAGGTTTATCCTGGCGACAATAGTACTCTCATGAGGCTAGCCTTTGGTTCCTGCCGCACCCACTCGGAGACCCTAGAAGAGATGTGGGTCCTGAGTCACCCCTCTGAATCTGTAGTTCTCATAGCCTTCTAAGGAAGCCCTTTCCTGCCAATACTTCCAAGTGAAGGCTTCAGAAGCAAAGCTTCTCTCTGATCCTCTCCTGCCTTCCTATCTCCTGCTGCCCTTTCTTCCTTCCCCCACCCCAAGGCAAGTCACAGAAACTAAAATTTCTCTTCCCTAAGGCAGGTTATAGAAATGAGAACCCTTTTCCCCCAAAGCAAGCCACAAAGCCTAAAAATATTACTTTAATCTTCCCTGCCTGCTTTTCTGTTTTCAGGCTGGCCACAGAGAAATTCTTTGATCTGCCTTGTCTGATAGTAACATCCCCAGTTCATAAAGGTCCTGTCCCATACCCAGGAAGAAGAAATGCTGCACAGAGAGGCAAGAAGAATCTGAACAGAGGCCCTCCTGGGTTTCTTTGCTCATTCTATCAGCATTAGATCCAACCTTTTTTGTCCAATCATATTTCTACACCACTGTCTACACTTCCTCCAACCTAAGCATAAAAATGGATAGTTTTTCCTGGGTCTTTGGGTTTTCAGTCTGAAGGCTCTCGTGGCACATTAAATTATGATCAAATAAATTCATTATTCTTTCCTCTTGTTAACTTTTTTTGTTTTAGATAGGGTCTTACTATGTAGTTCAGGGTGGCCTTGAACTCTTGATTCTTCTACCTCCCAAGTGCTGGCTGGTGTTACAGGTATTTGTTACCACATCTGGCATTCTTAACTCTTTGGTAAAGGAGTTAATACGATATGCAGGAAGGGAAGGGGATTACCCCTTTTTTGCCTCAACACCTGCATCCAACAAATAAGATCGTCTCATTACTTTTTTTTTTTTTTTTGGGTACTGGGGTTTAAACTCTGGGCCTCACGCTTACTAGGCAGGCGTTCTACCACTTGATCCATTCTACCAGCCCTTCTCATTACTTTCGAAATGCATCACCTATGCTCTAGAAGAAAGGGACAACTCCCTAAGTGTATCCTGTGATGGCCTCTCTGCACCTGGTGGCTTGTGCACCTCTCTAGCCCTCTATGCCTGTAAGCCCTGTGGAGGAATGACTTCTACCTCCTTTAAACTTATAAGCCACTGGTTCTACCACCTGCCTTCTACTGCTGATGTACTGGTGTACTTGTCCTATCCTTCTCCCAGAGGACAATGGCTTGGTCATTGTTATCTCCTCCACAACTCAACATAGTTCCAGGTTCAAAAAAATCCATCTACTAGGCTTTGCAGGGCAGATCACCACAAAGGACAATTACAGGTGTGCTGGGTAAGACAGACCACAAGTGACTAAGAGAATGGGATATAAATCCCAGGTCCTGTTACTAGTTATCTGAGTTTGCATAAGTCTCATACATTCTGTAAGCCTCAGTTCTTTCATCTGAGACAGTGAAAATTTTGCCAACTTCACAGTGTTGCTATAAGGATTCACTAACACATGACAGCATCTAGCATAGCACCCAGTTACCAATAAGCACTCAATGAACAGCAGCCATTATTTGAGCAGTTAGTAGCAACTGGCTTAGCAGATACTCAGCCAAAGGATTAGAATCAGGAGTCCAGGGACTGCTGTATGGTCTAAGTATACCTCTCTGCTCCTCAGTGACCCTACCTGTGTCTATACCTGCTTTCTATCTATATCTACCTCTATGTCTATCTCTACCTCTCATTGGCCTATAAACCATAGATAGAAAATGTTTTGCAAAGCACAATGTGATTTGTCCTGCTTGTCTTAATTTCAGATTCCTAGAATCCTGTCCAGTGTGTGGCCAGAGCAGGACTTCACCTAACTGACACTCTCACCCATTTGGTCTGAGAGACTGGCATAGGGCAGACAAGGGCCTGGCTCAGCTTTGTTTCACTGTGTCCCTGCAGCCACCCTTTTCCAAAGCCCTGGTTCCTAAATGTCCTGCTTGGTCATATGGCCTTCCTTCAAAGAACAATGGGGCTGTGGTTTCAGTGAAACTGGCAGCTCAGGCACCACGAGTCAGGCCTCTCATTAACCTAGCCAACCCTGAGCAGCATGAGAATGAAAGAAAAAGGCCAAACCAGTGCAGATGCCAGAACGAGCCTGAGGGGGGAAGTAAGGTGGAAGGAAGTCTCTCATAAGACCTTACATCTGCCAAAATTAATTTGCCACACAACTGTAATGGCCCGAGTCCAGTGGTTTTCAAACTGTTAGCCCCAAGGAGCTGGGTAGAGATGCAAAATGTAGGCCCCACCCAGACTGATTGAATTAGAAAACTCTGGTAGTACAGTTTAGCAATCAGCCTCTGGAGAGAGGTGGGGGGAGAGGAAGGACAGAATCCAAGATCTGATCAAGTATGAAGAACCCTGTCCTAAATCTTTAATCATGAGATGCTCTGAGGTAACTTTACAGAACACCTACTATGTGCCAAGGACTGGGCAGGGAAGGGTATTAGGACAAAAATGGAGTCCTTTTTGTGAGATAGGGTCTACTCTACTAGCTAGGTCACAGCTCTCTTAGCTCAGGGGCAGAAAGCTCCCAATTCTTTGTTCACAAATATGAAGAATGCAGTCCATCGACAACAAAGGGTGAATGCACAGGCAAGAAGTTTATTAAGCGAGAAGACAAAGCTCCCACAGGAGAGGGAGGGGTCTCCAGGGGCTTCTTGGGGGGACTCTGCTCAGTCCAGGGATATTCATTTAGTTGAAGAGGGCATTGTCCTGCTGAGTATGTTAATCAGGCCTAGGAAATGTACATTTTCTACTGGCATCTTTAGCTATGAGTACCCAATGAGATTAGGACTGGGCTTGACCAGTTCGGAGGGGTTGGGTCCTGAACTCAGAAGATAATCTTCAACAAGGTTCATCCCACACGTTCTATTTTCTCTCCTCCCCTGTTCCTTTATCTGGTGAAATGCACCTTGTGACTAGGGTGTATGGATAGCATATGGTAACTTTTTTTTTTTTTTTTTTGCGATACTTGGGCTTGAACTCAGGGCCTCATGCTTGCTTAAGCAGGCTCTCTACTATTTGAGCCACTCTACCAGTACTTGACTTTTTTACTGTGGGATTCCTAGGCTCTCAGGACCCTTCCTACCTTTGTACTCTTTTCTGGCTAGTGTCAGATACGGGCTCTTTGCTCTTTGTAGAATAGTAACCTAAAGAAAACCAGCATTCTCACCTTCTTGGTCTGTGCCCTGAGTTCTGCTTACATAGGTTCCTTCCTTTCTGTAAATGAGACTAAGGGGGCTCCCTACCCTAACTGCCTAAAGTTAATACTACCTCCTGCACTCAAGGGTTTTTGAGAAATGAGCTCAAGTGGAGGAGTGCCTGCCTAGCAAATGTGAAGCCCTGAGTTCAAACTCCATTACAAAAAAAAAAAAAAAAAGAACTTCCGATCTAATGTGAGCCAAAATCAAATACATAAAACCACCAAAATAAGGCAGAATTTGTTGTAGAACACAAAGGAACTGTTTCCTACCTCTCTTCCCAGACCCTACCCCCTATATCTTCTCTTACCATGAAAAGAGAAGCAGACTGCCTCACCTCCCCCACATTCCCAATCCTGCTGTTTTAGATTCCTCGGTCAAAGGGCTGGGATGTAGCTCAGTGGTACAGGCTTATGCCCAGACTCCTCAATCACAGGTGGCCTTCCCAAGAAGAGTGACAGTTGTGATCCTCACCCTGACAGCTTGGCTTGAGGGGAACTGCTCTCATGAGGCCACATGTAGTGGGGGGTTTTTTGTTTGGTTTTTTTGAAGCAGACTCTCACTATGTAGCCTGGCTGGCCTCTGGCCTCCAAGTGCCAGGATTACAGGTGTGCATACTACCACACCGGGTTTTAGTGGGTCTTACTAGCTTCAAAATTGGATCTATCTGGGATTTGGGCTCTGAAAGTGCCTAGGGTTGGGACAGCATGCCACAGGCACTTCACAATGCACTCTCAGCATGGTCACTCCCCTAGGCCCTTGGCAAGCTTGCAAAGTATGCAGATGCAGATATAAACACACACACAGAGACAGTTGGCCCCCTGGCCTGGCCTCCCTTCCTCCATTCTCAAGTTACAAGTTAAAAGCATCCTATTCACAGCCAAGGAGGTAGGGATGAGAGAGGGGTACTGGAGCAGAGAACCACCTGGTTCAGATCAACATGGATCACTCTGGACCCCTCCAAACTCCTGGGGCATTCCCTCCCTTATTGAAGGCTCACAGGTTTCCCTCCTTCCCTTTCCCCCTTTCCCCTGGGAAACTGGGACGGCCCAAAGGAAAATCTGCCAATGGAAGATGACAAAACAGAAAAGTGAATTATGCAGGCAAGTCTGTGACACCCCTCAGAGCCCTCAGTCCCACTTTCCCTTCAAATCCTGAGTACTAAGACTAAACTTAAGATCACCACATACAGGCAACCAAGCCTTCTTCCACACTCCACAAAATGTTCGGAGCACCTAGCAGGTATTCCCCCCAACCCCCACCAAGGGCAACTCCCTCCAAAGTTAGCAGCAGAAGCAAGATGAGGCTTAGGGGTGTAGTCTCCCAGAGTCCTCTAATGCCACTAACCCATAAAAGTAGGCAGATCGCATCCCTCTGAGAATCCCAGAGGGACTTCCAAGTCTACCAGGCATAAGAGAAGGGGTAGGCAACTAGTTTACAGACATTTGTCCCAAAGACAAGGAGGAAGTGTGCATTACTGGTGTCCCAGGTGCTCCAATCCCCTCTCAGTGGCAGCTGCTGAAAGAGACTGCAGATGCCTTTCTGCCACCAGCATCTATTTCTCTCTCTCCCTTCTCCTAACACCACCTTACTCCTTTGAGCAGCTGGAAAGCAAGTCAAGATGGGAGATGGATGCAGCTGGCAAGAGACAGAAACGAAAGGCTAAGTCGAGCAAGCAGCAATAGGTGGGTGACTCCTCTCCAAGCAGAAGGCTATGCAATGGAAAAGAGGGCCAAAGAAGTGGGACAGGAGCTAAAGGAGAGACTAAAGTGAGCTCAGCCCAGGGGCTGGTAAGTTTGGTCCAGTCGCAGGAGAATGACTGGAGGGAAGGAATCAGTCTTCCAAGGCATGGAAGGCACGTAAGAGACAAGGGATGGGGCTCAGGTCAACGTTCACAGGAGTGGCCCATTGGCCAAGTTTCTGGCTTGCATCGTGCCTCACTTTCTCCAAGGTAGGAAGGCGGTCAAGCTACCAGGTCTTATCAAAGAGAACTGGGCCACAGAGGGTGGCTAGGGGACGGTGCCAAGTAGGCGAACGGCTGTAGGGGAAAGGGGAGAGAGGTGCTGATGGTGCAGAGAGCCTCCGGCCAGGAGGACTAGGGCAGAGGGTTCCAGGTGGAGCAGAGGCCGGAGCGCTCCAGGTTGTCCGTACGAACTAGGTAGTGGACTGAAAGCGGGGACTGGGGCAGGAGCTCTTCAGGGGCTGGGACTGGGGGCTGGCGGCAAGGAGTGGAACAGGAGCGCATGCAAGGCTGGGAGCGGCTTGATGTGCAGAAGCAGAAGGCGGGGATCCGGATCGAGGCCGAGGCAAGAGGACCCCCGCCCACACAGCGCCCCGACCCAGGGGAAGTTGCCAGGCGGGACCCAGCCGGTCTGGGCCGCTGGGCCAAGCCCGTTGCCCGCGCAGAGGTGGTCTGGGGGCAGCGAGGGGCCTGGGGCACCCCGCATCCCGCCCGCCCTCATCCCGCCCGCGCACCTCAGTCAGTGACGGGCTCCGCGCGGGCCATGCTCGCCGCTCCTGCCGCCGCCTCCGCCCGTGCAGAAAGGCGCCGCTGCCGCCGCCACCACCCGCGTCCAGACCCGTTAGCTACGAAGCTCTCCAGTCCGCCCGCCGTGGGCCAGTCCCGCCCTTGCCTGGCCCTGCCCTCCAGGAGCGCCGCGGCCGCCGCCTCAGCCCGGCCCCTCCCCCCACCCCTGCCCGGCTGAAGGGAAGGGTGGGGGAAGGGGGCGGGTGCCCCCTCCTCATTCACATCCTCCCGGTCTCTCCCCTCCCTCCCGTCTCTCATGAGCTTAGGCATGCTGGGATATGCAGTCCAGCAGGCGCTACACCGCAGTGGTCCTCCCGCATCCGAAACTACCACCCCCAGAAGGCAGCGCGTATCCACAGGAAGGATTACGGGCTTTGTAGTTCGGCCGGGACTCACTGGGGCCAAGGCGCCGGAGGTGGTGCGGTGGGGTGGAGTAGGGGGGATGAGGTGGGGTGGGCGGCGGGGAGGAAATCTCTGTTTTTGAAAAGCCGTACTTGGGGCAGCTGAATCAGAAACAGTGGAGTCTGCAGTGCCCTTTGCCTGGGCTGGATATCAGGATTCTCAGAGGGATGCGATGTAACTGAGGATGCCTCTCAGAAGCTGCTGTGTCCAGTCGCTGCCGATCCCTGCTGAAGGGGACTGTTCGCAATTGCTCTCTCAAAAAGCCATGACCCAAGCCTTCTGGGTTCATGCCCTGGCCCTGCAAGCTGGAGCTGTTGTGAGGCCGCTGCGTCCAGGGGACGAGAGAGGGACCCCAGCAGGGGTGTAGGCAAGGGTTTTGGCCTCACCAGACTTTGTGTTCCCCACCTGTGAACAGGGCATCTCTTCATTCCAATCTTTCTCTCCCCCTCTTCATGCCCTTAGCCTATGTTTAGGGTAAAGTGCATGCATTTAAAAATATTTTTTCATGTCTTTTCTTAGCAAGAAAAAAAAACTTTTTTTTTTTTTTTTTTTTTGGCGGTAGTGGGATTTGGACTCAGAGCCTTGTGCTTAATAGGCGGGCACTCTACCACTTGGGCCATGACCACAGCCCCTTTTCTGAACTTTCAAACCAAGCTCCAAACCTTTATGAAGCTCCCCATTAACTGATGGCACTTCCACCCTCCAGGCTTCTTCCCTTCTGGCAGAGGGGAGGCCTGTATGTCAGTGGTTCTCCAGCTTTGGTGTGTATTGAATCCCCCTAGAAAGCCTGTTCAAGCAGACCCTCAGGACGACACACACACACACACACACACACACACAGAGTTTCTGATTCATTATCGCTAGGGTGGGCCTCAGAATGTGCCTGTCTAACAAATTCCCAGGAGATGTTGGTGCAGCTGAAACCACTTTGAGAACCATTTCTGTTGGTGTTTGTTGGCTACAGTTCTGGAATTGTCCTTCAAGCGACGCCCTGATTTAGGATAATAATAGCATATGAAAGGCCGGGCAGGAAAGCAGGGTCTTGCTATGTAGCCCAGGCTGGCCTTGAATTCACTGTGTAGTACAGGCTGGTCTCAAGCTTTGGATCCTCCTACCTCTGCCTCCCAAGTGCAAGTGCTGGGATTACAATGCATCACCACCCCTCACATAGAAATGTCTTCTTCTTCTTCTTTTTCTTTTTTTCATTGTACTGGGGTTTAAACTCAGGGACTTGCACTTACTTGCTTTGCAGGTGCTCTACAACTTGGTCCATGCCTCCAGCCCAGGAATGTTCTTTTTAATAGGAAACAGCGAGTGCCCCTAGTAAAGGAAGATACTATGTGAGCCATCCTGAGGCAGGATCACTATAATTGAGGCATAGAAAACAGCAGCCAGGAATTTACAAATAAGTATTGCACTCATGAAAAGCTGGAATAAAAACATATAGATACTATTTTCTCTGCTTTAAGCCTTACAATCCCTCAACAAACTGCAACATTTACTAAAAAGGAAAAAAGAGTAGCTCTTTCCCCCAACCTTGCCTGAGAATGGAACAAGAATATTTTAAAGAAAGATACTTACCCTGGGAAAGAACACTTATCTTGGGAAAATGACTTCTCTGGGCACAAAAAGTATCTACAAAGAAAAATACCACAAAGATGGACACCTGTCCTGAAGGGAGCATCTGGTAGGACCTATCTTTTCTTTAAAGGGATGTTCAAGCCTGGCACAGGTGGGTCACACCTGTAATCTTAGCTACTAGAGATCATTAGGATTGCTGTTCAAAGCCAGCCCTTGGCAAATAGTTTGGGAAACCCTATTTCAAAATACCCAACACAGTGCTGGCTTGGGAAGCACATATACTAAAATTGGAATGCCACAGAGGAGGTTAGCATTCCTACACAAGGATGATACATAATTCCTTTAAAAAAAAAATCTAACACAAAAAAAGGGCTGGCAGAGTGGCTCAAATGGTAGGATGCCTGACTAGCCAAGCATGAGGCCCTGAGTTCAAACCCCAGTACCACCAAAAAAAAGTTTGAACATCTATGTCATAGTGACTCAGATTTAATGAGTGGGCCAACCGTGAGGTCTCTGTGACCAACTGAGAAAGCACTATAACAGCAAAAATAATATAATATACCAGGTGTCAGAACAAAGAGGAAAACTCTTCCCTAAGGCAAATTTGAACTAAACCCCCAACCCAGTTTTTCACAATAAATACCCTGATGTTAGGGCATTTCTTGAACCTATATCTGGGCTGTGTACTATCTATCTTTGTTTTCCTTTGCTTTACTCATCAACTTTCTTGGCCTCTACCTTGATCTTTTTTGCAACAACATCACAAACTCCATATCCAAGGTCCAGGCAGAGTCCTCCTCCCTTTTGGAGATCTCCTGGAGCCTCACCAATTCCAGTAACAATCCAACTGAAAGGTATGCCAGATTTTAGCCCTTGATATTCCCCCTATAGCTGGAAGATTATTCTGTTGCAAAAGGGGCAGCTGAGGCATGCCTGGTGCTACCTATTACACTCTGGATGCAAGTCAGAGGTTGTGATATGAAACCCCTAGGTCAGGGTTGGCAAAGTAGAATCCGTTACCAGTGGGTGGACTATGACGTAACCCGGGCAGGAGTTGTGAGAGATTGAAAGGTAGATTTTCCTGATCTGTCAGGTATCTGAGAGTCATTCTGACCCAGGTAGATCCTCCTTAATACCTATTATCCTGCTGACCTTGGAGTTGCAAAATGCTGAAGCCAAAGCTTGATGAGCACCACCCCCCAGAATAGTCCTAGATTCTGGAATTGCAAAGTGATCCTCTCCTTGACCAAACTCTAGCTGAGCCTTCTTCTCAGCTAGATCTCAATGTTGGCCTATAAAAATGACACATTTGGGTGTGTGTGGAGGGGGTGAATGTGAGCAAAGTGTATCATATGCATGTATGATAATAGAATAATTAAATCCATTAAAAATTGTAAAAAAAAATGTGAAAGAAGAAGGATAGAAAAAGAAAGAGAAGTTGGGTGCCCGAGGCTCATGCCTGTAATCCTAGCTACAAGAGGCAGAGAGCAGGAGCATCACAGCTTGAAGCCACTCCTGGGCATATAGACTCTACCTCAAAAAAAAAAAAAAATCACAAAAAAGGGCTGGTGATGTGGCTTAAGAGGTAAGAGCACCTGCCTAGCAAATATGCAGCCCTGAGTTCAAACCCCATGCTGCCAAAAAAAAAAAGGAGTAATGGGGGTTGACTATGATCAAAATATATTATATGCGGATATTTCCATGTGGAAATATCACAATGGAACCCTTATACACAATTGATATATGGTTTTTAAAAAAGACACACTAAACACAAATGATTTCATCCCCCTCCCTCCCTGAAGGTTAAAACCTGTAAATACTAAGTTTCTAACAGCCTAAGGCCATATCTCCAGCTTGACCTTAGCCCTCCCTACAAGTGCTTGCCTGAGAAACTCAAGACTGACATCAGAGAGTTTACTGTTTGTTCTAGCCCTCCTTTTAAAGCACCTCTGTACAAATCCAAGCTGAGTTCAATTCATGCTGGCCTGTTCTCTATTGCAACACTGCTTTACTTAATGATTAAAAACCATCTCTACCACTTTAACTAGGGTTTGGCTTTGTTTATCTTTGATAAAGTGAGTCTCGTCCTTGAGTTCTATGGGCCCAGGCTCTACCCTACCCATCTCACCTGCCCCATTCACCCAGAGGCAAAGAGTAACTTACCCCTAAGTCCTTGGGCAAGCAGCCAAATGGCTACCAGAAGCATTGGACCTTGACTAAGTTGACTCAGGAATGCTTTTCTGTTTCATTTAGATTTGTGTCCTTATCACAGGCCATGGGGGTGGAGGGGGGGCTAAGTAATTCCTATGTAGTCCCATGTTCTGCCCATAAAACTAGCAGGTAGGGCCTCCTTGCAAAGACTTTGCTTCACAGGCAATGGCAACATTCCCTCTCAGGCAGAAGTTAAATGAGCCTTTTTGGGGCTGGGGATGTAGCTCAGT